ACTGTGTGTCAAAGTCTGACTGTCACACAAATAAGACACAACTGTGCCCTTATTGTCTCAAGTTTGTGGAGGAGGCAGAACACTACAGTTAGTAGCTCCTTCTGCTGACAGGAAGATAGAGGAGCAGCTATGAAGACAGTCCTGAGAGATGGCGGCTTAGAGGAAGTGGCATAGTCACTAAGCCATACCAAACCACAAACCCTGCTTGAGGGCAAGGTAAGAGCCAAAGCCAGGTGCGGTGGTGCACACCTTTAACCCCAGCACCCAAGAGGCAAAGGCTGCTGGACCTCTCTGAGCTGGAGGCCAGCCTGGTCTACATAGTGAGATCCTGTCTCAAAAAAGAAAAACGAGACAGTAGTGCATGAGCAAAACCAAGAGACTGCTCTGGGTAGCCTGGTACATGGTCACTAGAACTTGCTGTATACACAAGAGTGGAACAAGATGAGGCTGCAAAGGGAGGCAGAGGCTACAGGGAGTCTCCAGAGTGCACTAATGCTAAGGTGGCTTGATTCTTTCCCAGTAGTATATGGATGATGGAAGATGGAGTGATTTGGTCAGACCTGTCTGTAGAAAGGGTATTGTGTACTCACAGCATGGACGACAGATTTGGGGCAGAGAGAAAGATAAGGGGTCAGGGCCAGGAAGGAGGAACCTGGGGTTGTGTGTTCATTTCCATCTTCTTTGGTATAGTTACTAATTGCCATGAAACCCACCAAAATAAGCCTATCAACCTTGCTGCGACCCAGTATTTCCTGTCTCATATACATACACATGAAACATAAACACAGTTCATTTTTATGTAACCATTGAAGAGTTTCCATTTGCCAGAGGCTCCAACACTGAGCACATATCCACAAGATTAATGATAGCATTGTGCAGAGGGTAAATGTTTTTGCCAACATTTAATATAGTTTGCTTTTTCCATATCCAACCCCAAATGCACACAAAGTATGTGCTCTGCCCACTGGCTCTCCAGTGTGAGAAGTTTGGACCTACATAAACAACAGCAGAAAATCTGTCTTACTCACTGTGAGAGACTGGCAGTCTGAGACGTTCAACTCTTGCAGGTTTTTACAGTGGCCTAAATCAAACAAGCAGACATCACTAAGCAACACACTGCAAACATTTCATTTTTCCATCCTACATTCAATGCAACATTTTCATTAGAAAGTAGATAGAAACCTTGGCAAGAAGTATGTTCTAAGTATGTGGGTTTCTCCGCTTGGGCAAATGCTTTCTTTAAAAACTCATATATATGTGTGCTTTTTATTGTTTGTAGGGTATAGGAAGAAGGTGGAAAGGAAAAAGAATCACTATTTTGATTTTAAAAAATACTGTATCCTTGGGGCTTTTAGCTTGAAAGTACTCGAGGAAAATAAATTTGATTGTTTTGTTAGTTTTTGTTTTGATTTTTTGACTTTTTTGGTACATGATTTTTAACTCTTGTGAATGTGTGCTCATGTGTGGTATACAGATGTCTGTACATGCGCATGTGAGTGACCAAGTTGACACCCAGTGTTTCCTCATGCTATTATTTGGGTCTCTGTGTAAACTTGGAGAGCACCCGGGAAGACTTGGTGTCCAGGGAGCCCCAGGGAGCCTCCTGCCTCTCTCTGCCTGTAGTAGTGTGACTGGAATTATACACTACTACATTCAGCTTTTATGGGGGTGTTGGAAACCAGCCTCGAGTCCTTATGTTTGTGTGGTCAGTACCCTGCTGACACACTGATGAAGCCGTCTCTGCAGACCCATCTTCTAGTGCTAAAATATTTTATTACATCTATTTTTTGCACATATACAAAAATTGAGAGGACTACACCATGAACACCTATATCTCTGCCACCTGGATTTTATTCTGGTTTTATTACATGCCCATTCACCCATCTCTCTCAATTGGTCCTACATTCTGCATTTTTTGATGCATTTCGAAACATGTTGCAGATACCAGCACACTTCCTCCCCAATAGTTAACATGCATAATAATTGAAATAAACTATTTGTTATGACTTTTTAAGTTATATTTACATAGCAATCACAATAAATTGCAGAAAGTGAAGGTTGAGAAAAGCAATGTGTCTTAATAGCTCTTGCAGTACAGACGTTGCATGGCTCGGGGAAGACGAAGCAGGTACAGACAGCTGGACAACACAGTAAGCACCGTGAGAGACACTGGGTGGGGGACACTCAAGTGGGGAGTGTGAGGACTGCTTGACCCAAAGCAGTGGGCAGGAAAGGATGAAGGCACAGAATAGGTAAGGATGCAGGTAAGGCTGGCCCTGGCACTCAAACTAGGAGGAACCACATCGAGATGAAGCATATTCAACACTCATAACCATACAGCCCAACACTAATAACAGACACATTACTCGTTATAAATCTACTTTGGATATTTCTTCCCTTGCTAAGAGTGGACTCTGTCCTTAGTGATAGATACAAACAAGAAATATTTCCAGAATATTTTTACAAAAAAAAAAAAAGGCAGAAAAGCTCTTGAAACATGCAGATGTTGGCTAGGGTGTCACTCTGTCAGGAAAGTGCTTGCCCGGCACATGCAGTGCATCACATTAAGTAAGCAGGGTGGCACATGCCTGCAGCCCTAGCATTCTGGGTCATCCTTGGCTACATAGTGACCCTGTCTCAAAAGAATAAAAAAGCAGATCTTAGGCATCCCCAGTAGAGTCCCAAACAATATTAGTTTGTGAGTGGTACATCTTTAGGATAGAATGGCTACAGATATTTAAAAAAAATATTTGCCGTGGAAACATAGTAGCAATAAAATGGACAAAAGTCATTGCCTTTGGGGAAACTGATTTCTAGTTAAGGAAACTGGACAGAAGAGTACACAAAGAAGTAAAATGTTTGCTTAGACAGAGGCTGATGACCACTGTGGGGAAAATGAAATAGGAAAGGCAGACGAGGGCAACAGAGAAGACTTCACATCACCTTCTCAAATATTGACATGAGACCAGACCTATATGGGACTGGGACAGTGCCATTTACTCTGAACATTTCTGTGTCCAAATTCAACCTGAATGCTTGAATGACAATGAGGACCTGATGCTCCTGGGCATAGTAGAGGAGAAGAGTTTTATTATATATGAGAGTGGAGCCAGAGGCACCTGGAAGGGTCCGGACTGAACATGACCAGCCGAGTAGACCTGGCCATGAGAGGATGGGGATGGGGAGAGAGGGAGAGAAGGGCGAGAGAGGGGACCAGGAACCAAGAGGACAAAGAGCACCAAGGGAGCGCATGGCCTAAATGGCTGAGGTTGTGTACAAAAGAGAAGCTGGAGGAAGAGAAGTGATGTGCAGGGGCCGGAGCCAGGGGTGAGGAGTGCGGAGGGAAGCAGGACTCTGGAGCAGGTACCTGCGATACAGAGACAGCCTGGCCGCCAGTGGCCAGCATCCGCTTTGATACATTCACAGATACCTCAGCCATGTCCAGGGTTCCTTTGGGACCTGACGGTGGTGATAGGAGAGAGTAGAAGAAAAGGAAGGTCACACCGACATGGCTGTGTGTCTCAGGGCCACAAGAGAACTCCTTTAACTTCTGTGTTTGCCAGGCTGAGTCTGAACAGTTGAGAGCTTCCCACCGGCCAGGCACTGAGCCCCTTTCATCTGCCCAGGGACCAGGAAACATCATAAGCCCCATTTTACAGACAATGAAGATGAGGCTGTGACCTGGTCCATGGCATATTACAGCAGATGGCAACTAATAATTCAGATGTCATCCCACCAGATGAATAACTCTCTGATGGAGGAACCTGTTTCAAGCAAGGCTTACAGAGCCACAGACTCTGAAAGCTGGTTGCTTTTTTGTTATTTCACATGTGCAAAAACAGCTGTGGAATCTCCCATTGCTCTGTATTTTCATGTAATGTGTACATGTAATCTCAGGATTATATCACAATTTTATGGGCATTTATTCTGTGGACTGTCTAAAAATGATTTCTTCTTAAGCTGTATAATTTTGATGAATAGAAATAATACTAGGATATTTTTCATAGCTCAGGCTGACATAGGAAAATAACAGTCTTCTCAGCTACAAAGAGCTTTTTACACCTTTATCTGACTTAGGACCTCAGAGCAAATTCAAAGTAGACTAGTTGCCCCTGCAAATGACTTGCACAAGGACAGATTCCCAGGTATCTGGTTGTTAAATCAAGGACAGGCAAGAGGCAATTTTAGTGCCAGTTCTTCCCTTGCAAAATTCTGGCTGATCACATTAAAGATATTACCCCCTGCACAGATTCTCTCAGCAAGTCTTAGTTTTATGATACAAGACTCAAGGTTCAGCCAACTAACTATTTATGTTTAGGTCCCAGGATGCTTTTAAGGTCGCTGTCCCTCGAAAAGGTGTGGGGCACTCAAACGTTACAGGCCTCCTCCTGCTCACCAAGGAGCTTGGCTGAGAGCCACTCCTAGCCATGCCAGTGACCCGGTCAGCGTAACATTCCAAGTCCGAGAGAAACCATGTGATTTCATGTGTGTTATCAGAATGGCTCCATTTCTTGTTTGCTCAAGAAATGTAATGTGACCCTCAAAATATAACTCATATTGTCTAGCACTTTCTATTGGGGATATATAGATATATAACTATGTAAAGACAATTTTTTCAAGAAGAGAGATTTCAAAATGGAGTAATAAAGAAAGTTAGCATAGGAATGCACGTGTTCTTTCCCTGCCCCTTAGTTTGGTTCTTGCTGACATCGTGGGTTTTTTTTTTTTTTTTTTTTTTTCATATCCTGGGTGCAGTCTTGAGCAGGCTCTCTAGAGACCATAAATCTCACAAAAGGAGAGCCTTGATTCAAACTTAGGGCCAAGCTTATGTCTACTAACTAAACTAGGCAAGTAGAAGGGGAAAGCACCTTCTACAGCAGTTTTTACCCACTTAAACTAGGAGACTAGATCAAATGAAATAAATCTGCTGTTTCTGTTATACATTGCTCAAGACAGTACTTAGCTGTTTGTTCTTTCTTTCTTTCTTCTGGTCCACCTAGGAACTCTGAACCCCTCCACTGGGACTTAACCTCCCTGACCTGTGTTACTCTGCTGCTCCCCCTGCCGTGGGCAGGGACCAGCTGGACGTCGGAATGCGCGTAGTGGCCATCCTGATCCTGCTCTGCCTTTGCAGAGCTGCTGAGCTTCGCAAGGCCAGCCCTGGTGCTTTGAGAAGCCAGGCCAACCCCAGCCGCAGCCGCAGCCGCAGCCAGGCAGGTGGCGGCAGGAGAGGCAGCCCCGTCAAACGCTACGCACCAGGCCTCCCCTGCGATGTGTACACTTACCTCCATGAGAAATACCTAGACTGCCAAGAAAGAAAATTAGTTTACGTGTTACCTGACTGGCCTCAAGACCTCCTGCACATGCTGTTAGCGAGAAACAAAATCCGTGTGTTGAAGAACAACATGTTTTCTAAGTTTAAAAGGCTGAAGAGCCTGGACTTGCAACAGAACGAGATCTCCAAAATTGAGGACGACGCCTTCTTTGGTTTAAATAAGCTGACCACCCTCCTGCTGCAGCACAACCAGATCAAGGTGCTGACGGAGGAGGTGTTCATTTACACCCCCCTCCTGAGCTACCTGCGCCTTTATGACAACCCCTGGCACTGTACCTGTGAGTTAGAAACACTTGTTTCAATGCTGCAGATTCCACGGAACCGGAATTTGGGCAACTATGCCAAGTGCGAAAGCCCAGTAGCACTGAGAAATAAAAAACTGCTGCAGCTAAAGACTGATGAGTTATGTGATGAAGAGGATAAGGAGCAACTGGACCCCAAACCCCAAGTATCAGGGAGACCCCCAGTCATCAGGCCTGAAGCAGACTCCACTCTGTGCCACAATTACGTGTTTCCCATCCAAACACTGGACTGCAAGAGGAAAGGTGTGTGTGCATCTCCCTTCTTTGTTTCTGCAGGCTGTTAGTTAGGAAGGTATCTAGTCTTAGTCCCCTTCCTGTATCTCAGGTGCCTGGAGCTGTCAGGTAGCATTCTCCAACAATAATGGAACCTATGGAGTCCTATTCAAGGCAGCTGGTAAGTGGGGAACAGGAGAAGAGGACATATGTAGCCAAGTTGGTAAGGCACCTGGCTAGCATGTGACAAACCATGGGTTCAATCCCCAGACCCACATAAACTGGGCAGAGTGGCACACACCTGTAATCCCAGCACTTGAGAAGTAAAGACAAGGGCATCCAAAGTTCAGAATCATCCTTGACTACATGATGAGTTTAAGAATAGCCTGGGTTACATGCGACACTGCTTCAAAACACATGCTCCTAAAAAATTCACACCCCCAAACAAAACAAAGCATAAGCAAATGAAAACAAGTTCAAGGTCATCCTCAGTTACCTGGGAGGCTGGAGGCCAGCCTGGGCTTCGTGAGGCCCTGTCTCACAACCAGGGGTCTGTGCTGGACAGATGGGTTAACAGCACGTATTGCTTTTAGAAGAGCCAAATTTAATGCCCAGCACCTCTACCAGGTGGCTCACAACAACCCAATGCCTCTGGCTTTGATGGGTACCTACCCACATGTGCTGTACACATACATGGTAAAACATTCCATAAATATTTACATAAAAAGAAAACAGCAGGGCTAGCCATGAGAGCTGGTTCTTTGGTTCAGGGGAAGCTACAGCAGCTAGGAATTCCTTCCATCGTGAATCTAATATATCTTGGTTACAAGTGCAGATGTTCTCTACACAATCTGACCTATACCAAGTAAGTAAAATCCATGCATCTATGGGGAGACAACGTGCAGGAAAGAACACTCACAGCTCAGGCCAGGGGGGAACACTGAGACGGAGGCCAGTAGAGTGTGATGACGCTTCTGTACTCCAGCCCCTTAGTCTCAAGGTTCTCATGAATGCTGATAGAACCAGACATCTTAATTCTTCTCAAGTTATCCAGAGTGAACAAAATTAAGTCATTTCCAAGTACTTAGTCTAGGATTTATGAGACTGGGGAACTTTCTAGACTATTACCTACTGTCTGTAAATTGATGGTAGGCTTTATATCCTACACAATCTTGTGCAGTGCTGTGCGAGGTCTCCACATATAAAGTCATGAACTAAGAAAACAGATGGGAGATTTCAGAAATGCTTATGATGTGACAGCAAAGACTGGCACTGTCACAGAGTCATCCAAGAACTGCTAATCTCTTTATGATAACAGGCCATATGACAATGTGGATGTGCTTTGCTTTTGGCATGCTGTAAGCGTTTATCTGTAGCATTAAGTTACAGCCAGATGTCCTTGGATTAGAGTCAGTTTGAGCATACTAAAATTGTTTTCTATCTATCTTAGGAGGTTTTGTTTCAGGGCAAAAGATTAGGACAGTTGAAAGGAATCCTGGCAGATCCTCTCAAGAAGGCTAAAAGCAGGAATTCATTAGTGTTCTAGATTAGACAGCTGGATCCAAGAATAAATGTGTTCACTTTTGGCGAAGCTGTGGTCAGAGTGTGCCACTTTCTTCTTGTCTCTGAATTGGCATCTGGTCAAATCAGCCTGAGCCAGGTAGCATGGAGAGGTGCACTCGCAGGAGTCATGGCGGAGTCGTGCTAATAACTGGGGCTGGCCAGGCTGGCCTCCTCTGGTTTGGGAGAAAGTGCTCACTAATTGAAAACCTACCAACTACCAGGTACCCTCCCCTGCACCCATGCAGTCAGCTTTCAGGCTGGTATCCCCATTTAAGAGATGAGGAAAATGAAGCTCGGGAGGTCCCATCAATCGGCCAAGGTCTCACGGTTAAAGACAAGAGCAAAGAACCTTGGTCTCCCAAGCCAGTGCTTGCAGTCTTCCAGAATTCATCTGACCACATGCAAACGAGCCACCACCACCACCACAGGAACGCACTGGAGAACTCTCCAGCACTCGGTGGGTGCAGTCTTGCTGTACCAAGGTTGGGTGGACTGTCTGTGGTATCTTTACAGTGAGCGTGGGGCTGGTGCCTTCTTTTTGGCTAGGGTACCTGGTATTCCTGAGGTTCTGCCCTCAGGTTTGTTGAATCTGCTCTTGCTACACTGGGTGTCAAAGAGTATGTAGGATCGAGCCCACCAGTCGTCTGAGAAAAATACCACCCACATAAAAGACACATGGGACTTCTACAGCAAGACTACACTGTGGTCTAAGAGGGAAGAGTTAAGCTGGGTGTGGGTTCACACACCTTTGATCCCAGCATTCCGTAGACAGAGGCAGGTGGACCTCTATGAGTTTGAGACCAGCCTGGTCTCTAGGGCTATGTAGAGAGACCCTGTCTCTTTCCTTTCTTTCTTTCTTTCTTTCTTTCTTTCTTTCTTTCTTTCTTTCTTTCTTTCTTTCTTTCTTTCTTTCTTCCTTCCTTCCTTCCTTCCTTCCTTCCTTCCTTCCTTCCTTCCTTTCTCTCTCTCTCTCTCTTTCTTTCTTTCTTTCTTCCTTTTTTTTTTGGTTTTTCAAGACAAGGTTTCTCTGTGTAGTTTTGGGTGCCTGTCCTGGATCTCGCTCTGTAGACCAGGCTAGCCTCAAACTCATAGAGATCCTCCTGGCTCTGCCTCCTGAGTGCTGGGATTAAAGGCCTGCACCACCACTGCCCGAGAGACCCTGTCTCAAAAAACAAAAACAAAAAACAAAAAAAAGAAGAGGTGAGAGATAGCGATGCCACGCTCCCTTTTACTTTACTTGCTTCTCACTCTTGGGCTGCCACCACTACCAACCCCACCAATGAGCAAGGTTCTTACTTTGTCTTTTTTTCCCCATAAAACATTTCTCTTGGCAAATATCAGCTATGAAACATATTTTATTGCTTTCCTTTTGCAACTTATTGTTGCCTAAATATAATCTTCCAAAAATACCCCACAAATTAATCCTCTTTGCTACAAAACTGCAGGGAACCAATGTGAACAAAGTTTCATTACACATAAATGTAGCACCTAGAACACTGAGTCATACATTAAAGGACAACCCAAGTCCCTCTGATGACGATGTAAAATCCAGAGCCCATCCTTGCATTTTTTTAAATGTTTAATTGCCATGAGGTAGTAATTCTACCTGTTTGTGAGATACAATGCAATATTTTAATTCATGACTGTGATGTTTAGTGATCTGTTCAGAGTAACTGATTTATCCATCACCTTCGAATGTATCATTTATGCTGGAAACATTCAATATTCTCTCTGCTAGCTACTTGAAATGTACAATGACAACAATTGCTCTAGCACATGAGAGCAATTCCTCCCATTCATCTTTACCCCTGTATCTGTTGACTACCTTCTCTCCATCCCCAACACCAGGCAGAGCCTGGTCTAATTCTAGATTATAAAATAAAGGCTAATTAAGTCTTTTCATAATTAAGTATAAATGCCTCTCCCTATGGTTTACATAAATCTATCAATTCTATTCATTGTTTATTTTTCATTCTTTCTTTATTATACATTCCTGTTTTAAGTTACATTCTTATAAGGAAAAGCTTATTAAACTCCTTTTTTAGTGTCCAGCATTGGGCACTGGGTGATAACATTACCACTGGGTGATAATATTCTTTGCTCCTTCAAAGCAGTAACTTAATCAACTTCAGCCACAGAAGTGCACAGTAGTTGAAAATTGTGGTTAGAATTCAAATATGACAACCTTTATCTACTCTAGTTCTTTGTTTTGTTCTATAAATGGATAACAAATCTCAAGTACTACAAATGCTCAGTAATGTCTGTTTCTAGGCCCCTGCTGGAGTGTGCCAATGCCTTTGATGACTATACTATACATGTTACACACAACATAGACTCTCAAGAGATTTAAAGCATGCCACCAAGGGGGGACCTAGCAGTGACATTCGTGACCAAGAGCCACTGGTTAAACACACAGTCACTTACTCCTCACAGCCCTAAAGCAGTGCTGCCATAATTGACATGATGAATGTCATGTCATAAATGACAAAGCTGGGTACAGAGAAGCTGTCCTTAGAGATCACCAAGGCAGCAACAACACACCATTTCAGCCATGCACCACCATGCAACACTCTCCCTTCCTTCAAGATGGGGTGCATCCTCTACACCAAGAATTCACTCATGCCTTCTGTGTGCTCCCTCCCAGTACTGATGCCTCCTCCTCAGCTCTACACAAGAACACCACATGGCGAATGCAAGCAGGGAACCTGCGGTGTGGATCCTTGCAGTGAGGGAATTCAGCCTTCCCAACAGACCAGCAGTGACTCAGATGATTTGTGCAGGATACTGACTTGTGCCAATTCAACCACATAGACCTCAAAGATCACTGTTTTTGCTTAAACATCTGAGAGAGAAAAAAAAAGGAAAAATAAAATAAAATAATAGCTTTATTCACTGAGTGACAGGCACTTTGCCAAAAAGCTCAGCCTTTCAAAGGGAATGAGAGTGGGGCTGGTTGAAAGGCACATTATGCCATATTGACGTAGCTGGCTTTGCCAAGAACACAGAGTGTGAGCTCTAAAACTACTTTTAGCTCTGCATTTACCAAAATAATTTGCCAATTTTACTTTGAGGGCTGGGAAGAATTATATAGGTAAATTGCCTCCAGGTGCTTCTGACATTAGGGCCACAATACTGCCCCTGATTTCAATAATAACTAAGAAATTTTAATTCCTAATAAACAAGCTAATGCATGTCTCTTTAACTACTACCAAGTCTTCAAATTAGTTCTGAGGTTGCTGACAACCAAAAGCCTACTGAATGGGGAAAATGATGTGGAGAAAATTTCTCAATTTCCTCTGCATGGTAAGGTTTGGTTGGAGGAGGGGCAGAGCTCATAAGAGCTGACGGTAGATACAGCATCTATTGAAGTGTTTATCAAGAATGTGACCCCAGTTGCAAACCCAGCACTCAGAGATGGAAACACAGAGATCAGTTGCTCAAAACCTTCCTTGCTTAAGTCACATTGCAAGTTCAAAGCCAGACCCTACCTTAAGCCTTCTCCCTCGCCAACCTCAAAATGTTTTGATTAGTGGCAAATGTGAAATATGGGTGCCATATGGTCCTCCAGAAGTGTCGTCTAGAAAGGAGGACGTTGATGAAGTTTGGCTTTGGTGTGAGGAACTGTGTATTTGTCTGCTCTCTATCAAAGTCACATATTTTGCATCAAATTTGTAATCCTCATTCACGTTCAAGGCAAAAGAAGGATCTGCTTTCCCTCATCACCATAATCAACGAAATTTTCCTGTTTGTTTCTAGGTCATGGTAGAAAAACTCTTGGTTTGCATTTCCTGCTACTTGTGGATGCTATTTTTATCCAGGAGTTTGCTGACAACTCCAAAGCTAATTCTACAATTCGTATTCTTCTTCTAACACCCACAAACCATTGCTTAAGCAGGCTTCGGGGTATTTTTATAAACGTCTTTCCTGCCCGTTGATTTGTGGCTAACCCACTTTAGCTTGTTTCCTGAGGTTCTTCTGTGATCTGCCCTCAAGTCCGGTCCAGTAGATAGGAGTTCAGCAGGCAAGTTCTTTCTAGAACTGAGGAAGTGCTGCCTCTGGTGACAAGGACAGGTCTTTGCTTTGCTGACTTGGCCTGTTAGCGCTTCCTCCCCCACATACATGTGTGTTACACGGGGGATTCTGGCCAGGTATCCAGTACAGATGAAACAGAAGGCTAGCACAAATAGACAGCAGAGCAGCCGTGGCTTAAGTGCTAGGTTAGCATGTTTAGATTGTGACCATGTAACTATGGGCAAATGATCTATTTTGTTCTTCCATTTTCACATATGTAAAATGAGGATAATAATGGCACTTGTACATTTCTCCTCATTCAATTTTATTAAGAGTACCTAGATCAAGAACAGATAGAAAGAGCCCAACAAGAAGGGGAAAGAAATTTCAGGAAGTAAGACTCCAGGCGGTGCATTAAGGAATCTAGGAATGAACTTCCAATAACATCCCATTAAAGATCAGGATGGGAACATAGATCAGTCAGGAAAGTGCTTGCCACAAAGCATAAGGTCCTGAGTTCAATCCTCAGCTGCCATGTAAAAAGTTGGGTATGGTTGCACATGGCTGGAATCCCGGCTCTAGGGAAGCAGAAACAGGCAGATCCCAGGACAGCCAGCCTAGGCTCATCAGTGAGCCCAAGTTCTAGTGACAGACCCTGCCTCAAAACAAAAAATGTGGACACCACCTGAGGAAGAACAGCCGAGGGAGACTTCTAACTTGCACGGGCATAAGTATGTACATCCAGAGAACATGCACACACACAGACACACACACACACACA